TTTGAATACTGAAATACAATGGACAGAATTTGAAATCTGAGACTTTGTTTCATATCAACAGTAGAAGTAGTTTTTACCCAGCCCTACCAATTGGTTTGGATGGCTAAAAAACAGGATATAAGTTTCAGCTTGTTCACCAGAGTCAAGAGCACGTTTACATGCACACCAGTAAGCTGATAACTCACAAATATCAGCTTATTAAAATAACCAGTTTTCCCCGTTTACATGCACATCAGTAACCTGACAACACAAGTAGCTGTGTTTACATGACTTCAGTAATAAATCAGGTTATTTCCCTGTAGTGACGTCGAAATATAATCATTTGCGTATCTGACTCAGAGTATTCCATATGTTTGTCATTTGTGATGTTAAATAAAGCTTGCAACATGTCAGCGCGAAACTTAGCCTACAGTTATAAATACAGCATTTTGACTGAACCACTTCTACTTCTGCTGCACGAGATAACACATTTTTATCATGAAAGAGTCTGCTTTTGTGATATATTTCCTTCTTTCTTTACTGCAAGATGTTTGCTCTGTCTAGATGCGCTTAAATCTGCACTAACGATGCGCTCCTGTCATGTATCACACATGTGCACTTCAATAAGCCGACAGAAAGCGGGTTATTGCGTTTACATGCCACGCAAAATCGGAGTAAGAGGCAAAAAACTACCCGTGTCGACCCATTTATGCTGCGTTCAAGTCCTCCTGGGACGTTCGTGCTTACGAGTTGACAAGTCGTAATTACGACGTCAGGTGCGTTCAAGTCAGTTTAGTTTGGAAAATATACATTCTGATGGTTCCATTTGCCAGCATACAGACGTTTTAACTCAAGTTAAAAGTCAATTGACCACAAGCAAACTTGTGTTAACTTATTTAACCTAACTGAAGAATCACTCCTATTCAAGAATGATCACTGATGGCTGTTTCCTCCTGCAGGTCCAGTTTGTCCTGACCATGTTCCAGACATCTTGTGCTGTGGTTTGGCCATGTGCTTTCCCAATGGGCTGGCTGTATTTCCAGATCACTTATATGATCACTCTCATCTTACTCTTCTCAAACTTCTACATGAAGGTAAACAAGCATCAAGAATGTTATTGTACCAACGTATGGCTTGAAAAATAGCTCAAAATGTTCCCGTTCTTTGCTCCACAGACCTATAAGAGACACGCGGGATCTCGTAAGACCGATTACTCGAACGGATCAATAAACGGTCAAACTAATGGGGTGACATCCAATGAGAAGGTGAAATACAGGAAGCCGCGCGCAGATTGACGACACTTCATCCGCTTACAGTCCTGTTATTAATATCAGCGCAGTAGAGGAGCTTAATGTATGTCTATCCACTTATCACGCTACAGAGACTCCTGACATTTTTGCACACTGCAACCTCACATTATTCATATTGAATCCAAAAACTAAGAAAAGAGAGCCTTGAGTATTTGTTGTTTTTCATATGAAATTTTTCTTGAAATACAAAGATGGCTAACATTAAAACTGTACTAACTTGCACTGTTGCACACTAAGCTTGTTTGTAGACATAAAGAAGAATGTATTAGAAGAATTTGACGAGCATACAGGAGAATGTCACACTTAGGAGCTGAATTAAACACAGTAGTAGCTTACACAGTGTTTATTTATAGCACAGGCAGATAATCTTACAGTCAATAGAAGATGATATCTAAAAGTCATAACAATACCTTGAGAAATACGGAGAAAATGGAAGCTATGTAGTTTTATGGACTAATCGAGCGAGTTCAGTGAATTAATGAATGTTTATTATGCTGGTTATGTATGTTTTGATGCTGGGATGCTGGTTTAAGCTGGTCCTTTGCCAGCACATGACCAGCATAAACCAGCAAAGGACCAGCTTAAACCAGCATCAAAACATACATAACCAGCATATGCTGGTTTTTTCAACAGGGTTGTTGTAGCGCTGTAGCTGAATCTCATGAAAACATGTCCAGGTTATATTTCACCCCAACTTAAGACCTTTTTTTTGTATTTTTCATTGCTCCCATTAGTTTTTCTTTTCTTACAGTATTACATGAAAACTTTACTCTACTACAACATCATGATGTGCAGATACTTTACAGTTTAAATGATATATAATTACGGCAATGAGAATAAGGTTCTTTTCCACCCATATGTGCTAAAATGTAATTAACGTAATGTTGCAAGTTTAATAGTTGTAAAAAACACATTTTTAAGCAAATAATTATTTGTTATATTTTGATTTGTTGGTGAGATATGAGCCAGGGTTTAGTGTTCACCCAAATAGCCTTGTGCATGCATTGATAAATTGTAAAACAGATCACAAATAATACAGTATTGTCTGTTGTATATGAAACTGTTGGCACAGATCGTACTCCACCACAGTATCTCCAGCCTGCAGATGTCAGTTTAATATCTCATCAGTTCTGTTCTGTTGCTGGTTTAAGCTGGTCCTTTGCCAGCACATGACCAGCATAAACCAGCAAAGGACCAGCTTAAACCAGCATCAAAACATACATAACCAGCATATGCTGGTTTTTTCAACATGGTTGTTGTAGCGCTGTAGCTTGAATCTCATGAAAACATGTCCAGGTTATATTTCACCCCAACTTAAGACCTTTTTTTTTGTATTTTTCATTGCTCCCATTAGTTTTTCTTTTCTTACAGTATTACATGAAAACTTTACTCTACTACAACATCATGATGTGCAGATACTTTACAGTTTAAATGATATATAATTACGGCAATGAGAATAAGGTTCTTTTCCACCCATATGTGCTAAAATGTAATTAACGTAATGTTGCAAGTTTAATAGTTGTAAAAAACACATTTTTAAGCAAATAATTGTTTGTTATATTTTGATTTGTTGGTGAGATATGAGCCAGGGTTTAGTGTTCACCCAAATAGCCTTGTGCATGCATTGATAAATTGTAAAACAGATCACAAATAATACAGTATTGTCTGTTGTATATGAAACTGTTGGCACAGATCGTACTCCACCACAGTATCTCCAGCCTGCAGATGTCAGTTTAATATCTCATCAGTTCTGTTCTGTTTACATAGCTAGCCTTGTATGAACCCTTGCCTGCAAAAAAAGAAGCAGTGAATAGCTTCCGTTTTTTTTTACGGTGTCAAAAATGTCACAACGAATCCAGCACATCTCTTTCACTTTTAACAAAACAATGAACAATGGCTTACACTGTAATTACAAAGCACACTGATAACTCTAACACTTTCCCTTTCTTTTCTGAGACACTGAAAATGCTGCATATCAGGCAGTGAAGGGAATGAGCACAGTTCTTTAGACCCATAGAGAGCCACTTAAAGCATGAAATCAGTATCCAGTGGGTTTCAAACTCATTCTTTGTGCCAGCATTCCAGATCTTGTCAAGCGACATTAATTTTGCCCTTGTGTTTGAACAAACCTTTTCCTTAATCTAGCCTGCTGTTAAAGTGTAATTTACGTGTGTTAAACCATTAAAGCAGCACTATGTAACTTTTTCTGTGTTAAAAATTTGCAAAATGTATATAATGAGCGAGTACATCATGAATTAATCTTCCAAACCGCGTTTTTGTCTTATTCCGAATCACTACGGTACACTTATAAGTGCTTATATTTGGACTATTGTAGCCTGGTCGGGTCGTCACCGCTGCGGAGTAACACATACCTGCGTGAATCGCCATAGACATAAATTTAAGAGAAGTAGATCCGGTTGGAATGTTCTTTCCGCGGGATGTGTGCAGTTCTGTTTATTAACCGCTAGAGCGCCAAAAGTTACATAGTGCTGCTTTAAGCAAAGAACTACAGGAAAACAATACTACTACTGTAACACTAAACAGTTCCAGTTCTTCATATGATATAAAAATCAAGCCATTCTCTCTGTTAGTATTCTATTTAGGATAAGTAATGATATCTTGCATTACTGTAATACCTTCCCGGTAAATGATACAATGCTGTTAATTCATGCTTTCAGTGCAGAAATATAGACCAATGTACAAGATACCATTTGCTAATAGCACAGTAGTATCACAGAATTAATACTGGAAGTACTGATACAAGAAGTAGGCCGTTAACATCAGACCCAATAAAGTGATTTTTATTTGGAAATAAATCATGTGTCTGTGTTTATTTACTTGTTATTGTATATTGGCGTTTTATATATTGGCTTTTAAAGGGGTCATATGATGCGATTTCAATTTTTCCTTTCTCTTTGGAGTGTTACAAGCTCTTGGTGCATAAAGAAGATCTGTAAAGTTGCAAAGACTAAAGTCTCAAATCCAAAGAGATATTCTTTATAAAAGTTAAGAGTCAGCCACACCTACCTAAAACGGCTCGTTCGAACACGCCCCCACATACCTACATGCCTTCATCTGATTACCAGAAAAATTAAGAACATTTTATAGGGCCCTACTATTGTTTAAAAAGGACCCTATACAAAAAAAAAAGAAAACATTCATCACAGTCGACTTGAAACTTCTTACAGACAATCTTATATATATATATTTTGTATCTTTATCTTTACAATATGAGCGAGACAGATCTTACACTATCATGAAAACAAAACATAATGCTTTGAGCTGCAGTTAAGACTTTAGGAATCTGAAAACGTCACAGCGTTCTTGTACATTCACAAGAAAGAGCCTGGGCTGGAAGCAGTAGGGAGAGCAGATGGAGGGGTAAACCTTGAGGGGTCAAGGGTCGAGTCGTGACTGCATGCATGGCTTGGGTCGTCCTACAGTGGACACTCTGAAAAGGCTGTGTAGCTCTTCACTCGTGCAAAAAACAGAGGCGTGTACATTTTGTCTACATCAAATGCAGTGACAACTGTCTCTCCAGTCGATCTGTAGGGAAGAGAAGAAAAGAGTTTGGAAATGTACAAAATCTCCCAGCATGCTGAAGTCGCACAGACGATCAGGGCTTGATATTACTGATATTTCCTACTGACACACCACAGCAAAAGATAGAAGTAACTGACTTAAAACCATTTGTTTGTAGGTGAAAACACTAGTGGCCTAAGACTTAAATGCTCAATTTCTGAAGGATCAGCTGAGAACAAAACTATGGTGGTCACACAGATCACATTACTCATATCTGAGTGCCAAAATCAAATTCTGCTGCCTCAGTTCAGTTAAGTTCAGCTTATGCATAATTGTATCCATAACTTCCTGCATATTTATTGTCATTAAAAACATTTTACAAATAAAGACTCCACTTGTTTATTTTTACTACTTTTATGATTAGTTTTTGATGCTTTTGTGTCATGTTGCAGCCTGGCAGTCCTCATTTGCCTTCATCATAAGGTGAATATATTTCAAAACACTGAAAAATTACATGCGTAAAGGTTTGGAATGATGGTGAGTAAAAGTTCTTTATGGAATTTTAGAATAGACTAAATCCTTTAAGCATCACTATAAAACGGAGAGTTGATTCTGATTGGTTGAGCCAAGTTCAGAGCTGTTGTTACACAGCTGTCGTAAATTACTCTACAAACACACACCTTTGTTTACATTTGTGTGTTGCTCGGCAACCACTTTGTTGGAGAAGGCAGATTGGTGAGATACCTGTAGGTAATGCGGCAGGAATGGTGGATCCACACCAGCTTGTTGAAGCGCTGCCGCCCCCCTGAGGACAGCTGCAGTCCTACATGGAAGGCGCGCTCTGCTTCGGGGGCTGGGTTCCGCCTGCAGAACCGGCTCCTCTGGTACTCTGCCACCTTCTGCTGAAAGAGGACAACTGGTTCATTGCTTGAAAAACAGCAAAGAAATAGAACAGCGCTATTAAAGGAAAGGGGCAATAAACTTGCACAGGCAAACCCACCTCTTCTTTTCTCTTGGAGACAACAACGTAAACTTTGGTTTGATTGTCCGTATCCTGGGACAGCCGGTAATGGCCAAACATGATGGAATCCACCCTGTGGAAATTGAAGATCGTGAATGACTTAAAGATGGCACATGGCCTAGAAATGTGCTTTTTAGCCAAGTTGAGTTCACGTGACACGTACCTGGAGTTCTTGCTGCGCAGCCTTGGGACGGTGACCAAAGGGTCCTCAGGTGTGGTCAACATCATCACCTGACCGTCAGGGAAGAAGCGCAAGTACCTAACAGATCAGGTCTCGTCAAAGCCTGATAAACACTGAGCAAAACTGATTCTGTTCAAGGGACACTCCACTCAAAACTGAAAAAAAAATTCTGTCCTCATTTACTGCTGTTTAGAAAAATTCAGAGAAATGCCCCCCATACAATGGAAATCAATGGGATCCAATGCTGTTTGGTTTCCCACTTATCTTCTTTTGTGTGTCTGCAGGAGAAATCACCTCTGTCCAGCCAGTTTCACAACGAACTGAAAATAATATTATACATCCCATAATATAAAAGGTCTTTAACGTTGTGTTGCACCACTGCTTCTGTTAATTCAACTAAAATCAAAAAAATCGCTGCGAGTTTGAATGCGTAACGTGTACAGTTCATGCTGTTTTCACAAAAATATTTTCTGTCAAATAAAAGCTCAATGGTTAAACTACAGGTGAAGAAATGAATACAAATATTGTAATTTTACTATAAAACAAATCCACATACTAATTTTGAAGTATTTTATTTTAGATTTGCATTTATTTTATAGTGCAGTTGTATTGCAATAGCACTATTACTGTCTTATGGATAATAATGATCATACTTTAATATTGAACAAACACTATCAACAACTAAACGAGGTTTGAGTTCTTTAAAATCCCAGGTACATGCCAAAACAAAGACTTTTTTACTCTATCCAATTTGGTCACTGAAAATGGGTTGGGACGCTTCATTCTAATTCATGC